CCACTATCATCCTTTCTTTAGGATAGTTTGCCAACCGAACTTCAATAATAACTACACTTAACGACTTTCAATGATCAACGGGGCAATTACATGGGCAGCAATGACCTTTCAAGTATTAATTTTAGACAAAATTGTCATTGTACGTATATAAAACCTCTCATGGCCTTTTATGTACCTCAATCGAGAAGAAAAATCCCTAAATTCCAATTTAGGGTACGGGAACGGGAGGGAGAAGAAGAACATTTCGAGTAGAATCAGGCTTAAGCCGAAGAATAAGGAGAATTAATGTGGAAGAAAACATCGGAGGTAACTTTGGATGAGTATCACAGTTGTGGAAAGAAGACTTTGATGCTCACATCTTGGATGGACAACAATCCAGGAAGGTGATTTGCAACGTGTAAGTGAAGCAAATTAGGATGAGTAACTTGATTGAACACTATTTCAATGTTAATTTTTTTTTTAAATCTAATTTAACTGGCCTGTGGATTGATTCCATAGTGCATTGATTTGATTTGTTCCAAAATGGTTGTAAATATTTTGTGTGGATCAACCCTCAAATGTGTACAAGAGCTTGACAAATCATACCTAGCTTTTGAAACATATTAATGTGGCTGAAGTTGAAAAAAAAAAGGTGAAGTTCTTGTGGTGTTCTATTCTTGTTTCACGGATCATCATGTTTTTCCTTTTTCTGGAGTAGCCATATTTCTCAGGTTTAGACTTTTTGCTTTTGTTTAGGGTGAAGTGGTTGTGATGTGCCTGTATTGTGCTCTTGTCATTGATTTATGAAATGGCTTATTTCTGTGTTGTGATTTCGGCATTGATTTGCGAAGTGGCATTGAATTGTGCAGTAGTTTTGGTTGATGTTGTTGTATAGTATTGTAAGACTTCTTGAAATGTTTTATGTAGTGAATGAGATCATATTTGTTTCAAAAAATTTTGTTGACTGATCTATGTCATGAAGAAAACACTCACAGGCACAAAAATACATTAATATGCATAATTTTACCTTACAAGAAAGTACCAAAAGCTGCACAAACATATTCAATCAAAATAAATTGCCAAAAGTATCATCACAAATGTTAATTCAAGCCAAAAGTGATCATTATTCTATGTATCAGATATAATACCAAACATCAACATTCTATAAACTACCACTAATAAACTCTCAAAAGCATCACAAAAATCTTGAAAGTGCCATTAATAAACTACAAAAGTTTCATCATAAATGTTATGTCAAGGCGAAAAGTGATCATCACTTTGTTCGTCAGATAACATACCAAACACCAATATTCTAACAAAAGCATACCAACAAAGCTTGAAAAACAACACCACTGATACATAGCAAAAGTACTCATTAGCTTAGGACTATTTCTACTACATTGATCTTCTATTTCGGGGCATGGTACTTGGGGTCTGCATTTGTTTAAGAGCTTCATCAGTTGGTACTTTATTTGCGATAGTCTGGTTTGAGGTGACAGTTTCCCTGGTTGTGGTGAACCTCACATTACTAAGCATGTTGCTGCTATTTGGGTGTACCCCTATTGGCTGAGAAAAGGCCTTAGATTTTCCACAGGTGGCCCTCTTTTTATGTTGAATGACGATGTTCAATTTTGATTTTGGTGAACTTTAAAAAGCAAGAAAACAATATCACTTACAAAATAATAATCAGAAGACAATAAACAACATATAGTAGTAAAATAATTGATGGACTCTATTTTCTACAATTTATGGACTCTAATTTGTACCTTCCCTTTTCCACTAGGTGCACACTGAGGTTGTTGATTTATAGCATTAATAACAGGCTTAGTTACCCCACTAAAACTTCAAGACCTCTTTTCTTACTCTGGAAAATAGAAAATATATCATTTACAAAACAATAATCATAACAAGAAAAGACAAGAAAACAACTCAGTTAATATTGTACCTTTCCATTGACGTTAACTGCTGGCACATCTAATCCTTGATTGGTGGGTGTAAAATTTGGTTTTTTGTGGAAGCCTCGTGTTTTGCGATTCAGTTGCTTACAAATTGAGAACTTCATGACAACTCCTCTTTTGCTTTGCTTTTCATACCAATATTAGTATCTTCTGTCATATGCTTTTTGCCTTTTAGTTCATTTTGGCCTTTTCTTCTCTAATACTTCTTGCGGCTACCGGAAAGCTTTCCAACAACTGGTGGGATCAATTGTGCGTCCACCTCTGGCTACTCATCAGATCCAAATAAAGTTCATATTAAGTGCCTATAAACCCTCAAATAGGTTTCTTTATTGTATGACTCATCCACATAATCCTTTGGGTTATGAACCAAGTAGTAATCTCTGATATGGCATGAGCACAAGGATTTAAGCTGAGCTCTCACTTTCTACAAGTGCATATTTTTTCACAAACGTGGATCTTGAATTTTGAACTTGAGCTTCTCCCAACCTCAAATTGATCTTTCTCATTCCAATGGAAAATAAACTCTATGCTATTATTTTTCCGAATCTTCAAGCATCTTCTCAATTCTAGGACACAACTTTCTATGATGCTTTCTCATTTGATTCCTCTTTAAGTGAATTCTCTTCATTGGAGTTAGTCTTATCATCTCTAACATTTTGACTATCGACTGAGCTCTAGCCCTCACAATAACAGCACTAAATTTTTCAGACAGTTTATTGAGTAGCACATTACATTTAGAATGTGTACTGAAGTGAGACCTAGACCAATTTGCAGATGGCCTAGCATTTAACCAATAAACTGCACCTACATCTCTCTGTTTTAGCTCAATCATGACCTTTTAAAGTCTTGAACTTTGTGGCTCTTGCACCTTTCCACAATAAACTCTTAAGAGTCATACCCTTTTGTGAGGCTTTAAAATTGGCATAGAGATGTTGTACACAATACATATACTCAGCCTAAGGTAAAAGAGTGTCAATGGACACTACCAATCCCCTTTTCTTGTATGATATAAATGTCAAATGGTATGGGTTGGTTATTTTCAAATCCTCAATCAGCAACTCGAAATACCAGCTCTAAGATTTTTTTTTTCTCTTTCTCAACCACTGCATATGCCACTGGATACATGTTATTTTTTGCATTTATGCCCACAACAATCAACAATACCGCCCCCACCCCCTCTCCCTGACCCAATCCCCAATTGTAGTCATTAGATGGCACTTATCTAGAAACATCATTGGTCAATACCCATCTAACAATCCATCTCTCAAAGCCCCCAACAAATGTATAACCTCATAAAAGATGTTTGTTCCCCTATCAATTTACATTTGATTTTAACTGTAGTGCCTGGATTGGTCTTTCTGATTTAAGCCGTATAATACCACAACAAACCAAATTTTTCATGATGGCTATTAGAGCCAAATGCTAACACCTTCTTCTTGGTTCTATAGAGCTGGCTAGTATTGAAAAGAAGCTTGTTTTCACCTTGCTTCATTTAGTCATAGAATCAACAGACCAAGTAGAGTCAGACCATATCTTTTTCCTGTAGGTTTCGGCTAACCATTAAGAGTTTGCATGAGATACTCTTTGTCTCATAGGACATTTGTGCATGTGGTTATACTTTCTAACATCAACATATCCTCACATGACAAAACTGCAGCATAAATGAGCCATGCACAAGTTGTATGCTTGCATTTTACTTGGACCTTGGTCTTCTCATGAATATTGCAAGTGACATCTTTACCATTCTTAATTGTACCCTGCCTTACTGATTTCCTAAACTAAGCTATATCAGGGAAGAGCATTCATATTTCAATTTTAAGGTCATTCATATGTGTCATCCCATTGAAAACTACATGACCTTGTTCCATTGCTTGCATGAGTTTGAGGCATGTCCATCCCAAATCCCCCAAATTCCACGTCAATATCAATATTATCATTAAATTATTGATCATTCTTTTCATCAGATATATCACCTTCACTATCAATGAAAATCGCAAACAACTCATAATATGATCCCTTAGATTTTTCATCTTCAAAATCACTATTCAAATTGTTATCAAGATCATTCCTATCTACAGCAGAATGGTTTTCACTCGTCAGGTATTCATCATTATCACCTATAAAATCCAAACTTTCACTAACTACAGAACGTTCAGTAGGATTTTCAGTTGGTTATTTTTTATCATGATCCACATACAGAGCAACTATTCAATGTTCATTCGTCATGAAATACATTTGCATGACAACATTATAATTTCCGTCATGACAAAGTCATTGCAGTCATTAACCTCACCCCTACTACAATATACATTTTTAACTGCATACAATTCTAATTCATCTATCATGCTTATTACCTCAATCAGTGTCATTTCATCAGATGGCCAAAATCAACATGCGAGACTTCACAATTCAAGTACATCTTGAGGCCAAAATCTACAAATTGTCCACAATGGTAAACCCTAATAGTGAAAAATTCATCATTTGTACCTGAAAGACACATGACAGTAAAATTACATAACCACTAACTAAGAAACACAATCCAACAAGCACATGGTTCCTCCACGATTGGTGGTGGGTCTGCTGCGATCGGTGGTATGGCCTCAGTCACCGGCCGGTCTGCGCTTGGTGGTGGTGTGCCTTCCGGTCTACGATTGGTGGTTTCCACTTGGTCGCCGGCGGGTCTTCAATTGGTGGTGGTATGCCCCTCGATCCGCAATTGGTCTGTGATTAGAGGTTTCCCCTCAGTCGGCTTTGCTTTCTCCGGTGGGTCTTCAGGTGGGGATTTTGGACTCTGGTCGTCGGCAGTCTGCAGTGGTGATGAGAGGAGTGTGGGTCTGTGGGTAGGGTGGGGCTCTGACGGCTGCGACGTTTGCGTCGCGGAAGTCGGAGCTGTGGGACCGAGCTGCTCTCACCTCCACGGTTCTCTGGTGTTGGGGACAGCGGAGGGTCCAGAGCTTTCGAGCTTGGCTAGTGGTGTTAGACGAGTTCCGGCAGTGCTGGAGTGGGAGCTGGTCTAGTTTGTTCTCTCGGTTGGAGGCGGGTCAAATCGGGGTTAGATTCGGGGTTCGAGTACGGCTTCTGTATAGGTGATTCGATAGTTTCGAAAGCGGTTCCTCGGGCTTGGGATCTTTCTTGTACTCGACCGTCTCTCTGCTTGTTTGGCCCGTTTGTTTTGCTGGGGAAGGGTTTTGTCTGTTGCTTTTTCATTTAGTTTTTGTTGTTTTGTTTTGTTCGCGTGGTGTTGCTTTATCTTTGTGAGCCCGACTGTGTGCGGGTATTATCCATTGGGGATCATTTCTATTCTTCTGTGGGGATCTTTGTTGTTGTTTTTTTTCTTAGTCGTGTTTGTTGTGCTAGTTGTGTTTCAAGTCTCGTCTTTTGGTTTCTAGCTTTGTTAGTTTCAGCTTAGGTGGTCTTCTGACCTGTCCATCCAGGTTTTCAACTGTTTGTCGTATTATTCAGCTGGGATCATCTGGAGACCTAGCTCCAAAAGAGTCTGTTTGGTTACTCCGAGAAGGGGATTCAGAAATCTGGTATCCATCTACAGCTTTCAGCCACTCCCCATAGAGCCCTTCACAGAGAAAGTGGTTGGAAGCTTTTCTCTAGTCTCTTTTTGCATCTTTTATCCTAGTGTCCAATTTTTCCACAGTAGTAGCAGAGACTAACTAATCTCTCATACTTGAAATGAACTGTTATCATTGTATCTCCTAACCTGATTTTTGTCCACCTTAGAAATGGGTCGGCCAGGTTAACAGTGACCTGCAATCTGATCACTCGCCTTACTTGCCATCCTGCCCTAGCCAAGTTTACATTTTTAACTCGTTTGAAACTTTGAATATTTGGACTCATTTCAGCCCAACATCAGCGCTCAACCAATTAAGCGGTACATTATGAGCCTTGACCTAAAGGTTTAACTCCTCGAAACATTGATGATTACTGCCCAGCCCTAGGCTCCATTCTTGTAGGATAATATGTTGATTATCAAAAATCCAGTTTCTGCTTGAAATAATCTTGCCCATATCCTCTTTGTTACGAAAAATAAACTAGAAGAAGTTGAAGCTGATCTCGCGTACTTCAAATTGGTGCCCTAATTTCCAGATAATTCCCATAGCACGCTTAATTCCAACCAAATTTGCTTTTTTCTCTCCAATAACCTTCCTAGATAAACTCTTATGACATTCATCTTCGCTGGCTCTAACATCTTTTTCTTCAATGTCAGTAACTAAATTTTCTGCTTTCGAAATCAAGACTTTGCCAATCTTTGTTCCAGTTCCTCCTCCATGACTAGACTCAGACAAAGAGAAAAAGCTTAAACCCTCTTAAGCCTGAAATGAGAAGAAGACTCTTAGATCAAGAGATGAAAAACTCTCAGAATGAGAGATGCACGATTATTGGCAAATTTGAAGATTCACAGTTAAAATAAATAAAATAATAGTTGAATATTATATGTTAAACACAAACAACTAACAATTGTTTATTCCTATATCAAGAAACAATAATATGAATGAAATCTAATTTATATCAATATAAACGGATTACGAGCAACAATGTGATTACCTTACACCAAGCTTAATATTAGACCATAAAATGTATTTGGGCTGCAATATTTTGTAACTTTGGGCTTTTGGTATTTTAGGCCTGTACAATTTTTTGCTTTTAACCTCTTAGTATAAATATGTAAACTAGGGTTTTCCTTCATCACTTTTTCTCATATTTCTTTTCCCGTTTCTCTCTCAACTCTACAGACACTCTGCAATCTTTCCTCTCGTGTAATCTTTCCTCTCATGTTCATAATGAAGATTTAATGTTTTGTTCATATTTCTATTATAATATGGTATCAGTTTCCAGGATCTACTCTTGATCCGTCTAGATTCCTGCTGCTTATATACGATTTTTTGTTTTTCTGATTGTTTTTCGATCGACTCTCATTTGATTTGATACCTATTGTTTCTAATCTGTGTTGATCTGTTGATTTTCTAACGGATCTGCTCCGATTAGTTTTGTTTTGCTCGCTATTGTTCCGATCTGATCTGTTTTGTGCTGTCACAATGACTCACCCGACCGATGATCCTCTGTCGCCATACTATCTTCATGCTAGTGACAA